ATCAGATTAACAGTTTGCCAACACTGTGTGAAATCCTGTTCATATTCACGGAGAAAAGTGGACGTTTTTGGTAAAGAGGCGTAGCACCTCCCATACTGACTGAAAGCAAATCCGTTTAGTCGTTTCCGCGTATTAATTTAGTTAAACTTTTTTTAACAGGTGGCAACTCTTCCAAAAAATTTGCCTATTTTCCACTGTAGGTCATAAGCTATCTGCTTGCAAAATTTCATGCAAATCCATTCGATCGTTTCCGCGTATTAATTTAATGAAACTTTTTTAACAGGTGGCAACTCTTAAGAAAAGTAGCCTATTTTCCAATCTAGGTCATAAGCTATCTGTGTGCAAATTTTAATGCAAATCCATTCAGCCGTTCCCGCATATTAAATAAATTAAACTTTTTAACAGGTGGAAACTCTTAAAAAAATAGCCTATTAACGAATCCGGCCCATAAGCCATCTGCGTACAAAATTTCATGCAAATCCGTGCAGTCGTTTCCGCGTGATGATTTCCCAAACATCCAAACATACAAACTTTCACATTTATAATATTAGTAAGATTAGTAAGATAAGCACGTTGCGAGGAGCATAGAAAAATTTCGATGAAAAAAAATTCAAAACTATCCTATCTTTTAAGTTAGAACCAACAATACACACCCACAAAATTTCAGTTAAATCGGTTAAGCGAGACACGGAATTTTTATATATTACGATAAGCACGATGCGAGGCACAAAAAAAATTTCGCTGAAAAAAAAAATATTTTTTCGCGGGTTCACAGCTATATTATCTTTTAAGTTGGAACCAACAATACACACCCACAAAATTTCATTGAAATCGGTTAAGCGGTTTCGGAGATTAGCGTAAACGAACACAGTGACACGTTATATATTAAGATAAGCACGTTGCGAGGAGCATAGAAAAAATTTCGATGAAAAAAATATATTTTTTCTCGGGTTCAAAACTAACCTACCTTTTAAGTTGGAACCCACAATACACACCCACACGTTGCGAGGAGCATAGAACAACTTTCGATGAAAAAATTATATTTTTTCTCGGGTTCAAAACTATCCTACCTTTTAAGTTGGAACTATAGATGTTGCGAACGTGGAATTTCAGACATCCGCGGATGCGAATGCGGATGTTTAAAAGCTAATATCCGCGGATGCGAACGCGAATGCGGATGTCAAATATAGTGAAAGCTCACATATGCGGACACCGATGGTCATCTTTTTTGTCCGCCTATGAGAGATGTCCGCTTATAGAAATTTCGTAAAAAATAAAATTATAATTCATACTTAAAAATTGAAATTTCGGGTTTCTAAATTAAAATAATATTTATTCTTCGATAGACAGAAACAGGATGAATTAAAAATAAATTCAAATCTATGGCGTTTTCTTTCCTACCGACAATTCTCATTGCCCATTGGTAACGAAAAGGCAACACTTTTTCTAGAAAAGAAAATATTTTTGAATATGGACTATATTCCTGTGTACATACACATATGTAGAAACGCAAGAGTCAACATTCGACTGAAAAAAACAAAACTAAATTGATCGCTTGTGAAAGCTTCGCGTCCGCTTATGGGAGAGTTTTTTGTTTCATAAGTGGACATTTTTGAGTGTCCGCGTTCGTTTATCGGAAAGTCCGTTTATGGGAGAGCATTTTGTATGGAAGAAAAACCAAAAATTGTTCGTTCCAAAGAATGTGTCCGCTTATTAGAGCGTCCGTCTATGAGAGCTTTCACTGTATTTTTAGAAATATTTTTTGGTGAGTACATTAGGAGATTTAAGTTAATAAAAAATGGAAAATTCAGTAATTTTAAATTTTTTTTTATTTAGTACCTAAATTAAAAAATTGGAACATTATATTTAAAAAAGAGTAATTTTGCTGCTTTTTCAGGTTACAGCCTGTTTCCTAACGGGTGGTAAATCAAACCTGCGCCATTAAATAACTACTCGCTCGAGGCGACGCACTTGAAAAACTTGAAACTTTACCAATTGTAAATTCTTTTCGATTGACGCTGCACCAGTTGAGAGGACTTCAGTTATTTTTTTTTTTTTGTTCAATAATTCGAGAATTGCGTCGGGGCGGCAAATGTCGCATGTATCCTCCTGACTTTCATCTTCACAATCTAGCATCATGACAAGATCGCTGTTTAAACACCATTGTGTTCGAATTTGGAGAACCAATTCTTTTGATTGTTTCAGAATTTGGAGAACCTGTTACGTCATCAGCGTTTTTCGTTTTAGTTTTTGTAATTCATTTTTAATCCTGTCTTCTGTGACTGGTTTGAAAAATGTGTGGTTATAGCGTCGCGACGTTGTGAATAGGTGGATATGGCTAATAAATTGTTATTTTGTAGGAATAAAAATTTCGAAAAAATTTCTATTTTAAAAGTCGTGGCTGCCAGCAGAATTAGTTTAAAATCTTGTTATTTTGTTAAAGAGGTACCCCTTTTTTATAATAATTTCAATTATTGGAATCACGGCCGATAAAGGTCTCAGACTTGCTTAATTCCTGGGTGACCTCCTGGAAATCTTCACCTGTAATGAATAGCTTGTAATAAGTTTTTTTATTAGTTAGCTGATCTTGGCTTTTCCTAGTTGGAGGCAGTCACAATTAATTACTCACCACTGTAGGTACCATAAGCCATCAAATCCGTTTTGTTGCTCCATTCAATGTGTTTTGATATATATTTTGAGGCATTTGCAATATTCGCATTTGCAAAAGCCCCGCATTGATGATTGCGAATGCCAAAGCGAATGCGAATGTTAAAATTTATGCGGAAGTTCCGTGGCTGCGTCCGATTTCACTGAAATTTTGTGGGTGTGTATTGTTGGTTCCAACTTAAAAAACAGCATAATTTTGAACCCGAGAAAAATATTTTTTTTATCGAAATTTTTTCTATGCCTCACATCGCGCTTATCTTCTTCTTCTATATATATAAAAAAGGATGTATGTATGTATGTATGTATCTATGCACCTACCCACTACTTTTTGGTCCAATAAATATTTTTTTATACACATACATGCAAACATACTGGTCTCCCCTCTCACTGAGTTATTCATGGTCCTTCGAGCCGGATATTGCGGCTTATTTTACATCTACTAGACGACCAAATCGTCTAGGGGGGCCGGTATGTTTAGACGCGACTGCTAACACCAGGCGCCTAAATGCATGCTATGTACTGCTGCATGTGCAAAAATTTCCTTCATTAAATTAATGAAATTTATGTACATGTACTTCTTAACTGCCATGTAATAAAACTTTCTTAAGTTATAATTTGATGGCAGTTCAAAATTTGCTCTGCCTAGTCGGATGCATCCTCCGGACACTGCTTCCGGAGCATTCTGCGGACTCTGCATGGCTTACAACCATGTGGAGGTGGTAATAATTGATTACCATTGGCCACAGTGCCTACCCACTACTTTTTGGTCCAATAAATATTTTTTTATACACATACATGCAAACATACTGGTCTCCCCTCTCACTGAGTTATTCAGTGCATGTGCCGCGGGCTTCCTGTATATGTTATAGGTAAAATTACCATTTGTCCAATGTCAGCAAAGTTTCCATCATTAGCAACTGCATCACGTAAATGAACGTATTCTTCAACGCGCAGCTTCTTTTGATTTAAGCGAATGAAAAGAAGACGTTCACTTTCGACTTTCGCGTACATGTCCACAATAAACGGTTGGAATAATTCACGACATTTTAAGATATGATTGGATTCATTTCCACGAATCATAATGCGGTTTGCATAATAATCCATGCAGGACACTTTCTTTGTCGTCGCTTCACTTGTACTGGGGTCGACTTGCCTGATGTTGAAATGATATCCTTCTTCTCCATGGGGAAACAGCACTGGATATTGGAGTGCATCTTACGATCGATGTGTTTCCGATACTCTCTGCACATTAGCATTTCGCCGGTGGATAATGATGTCACGTCGATCGAATTCGGAGCCAACTATTACAATTGCTACTATTACAATTGGAGCATTGAAGCGCCTTTCATGTTCACCAGCAGGAGCTTTGTCTGCTCTAATAACAACACTATAGTCATCTGATGGCATTTGATCCAGAGCTGTTTTAAAAAAGCGAATCAAACTGTTTTGTTCATGGAACATTGCCTGCAAGCTTGAAATGATCTCGCGTCGGATCCCAGAACTAATTGCGCAACGCTTGTCTACTTCCAGTGCATCATTTCCAGTGAAATAAATTTGCAGAAATTTCGCATCTTGTTGTGGCACTGCGAGCAATGAACCGATTTTGTGGTATATTTGGCCTTGAACTTTGAATGTTGGCATGTAACCGCCTTCAGATATAATTTTCGTTGCTCCAAACGAAGTCATTTGAAAGCAAGAGTTGTACTTGCGTATGTTTTTCAAAAAGTGGTTTGAAATAGGAGTTGTGCCAGAAAGGTAACTAAGTAGTGGTTCAGCTGCCTCAATTAACGATGGCAAAACTATTTTACCATTTGAACAACACATTCCTGGTGATTCCTTTGCAAACTTCAAAGTATGGCAATGCAAACAAACTTTATTCATCGGTCCAATGGCGACATCTGCATGATTTTCGTAGTCTCTGTTTTTGTCATAATTGTATGCCGCCAACATTAAATGTGTTCTTTCTCTTGAATGGGTCAATCGTGATAGATTAGTGCGAAGCCGTTCGTTGCGTTGTTCGGGATTTTCAGAATCTCTGGAGGTTGAAGCTCTCACATGATTTTGTTGTAGGCGAGATTCTCGTTGTTCCAGGGTTTCAGCGTCTCTGGAGGTTGAAGCTCTCACACGATTTTGCTGGAGGCGAGATTCTCGTTGTTCCAGGGTTTCAGCGTCTCTGGAGGTTGAAGCTCTCACACCATTTTGTTGTAGGCGAGATTCTCGTTGTTCCAGGGTTTCAGCGTCTCTGGAGGTTGAAGCTCTCACACGATTTTGCTGGAGGCGAGATTCCCGCTGGTTTCCCGTTTCCACATTTCTCGAGCTTCTCTCTCTGTTTCGATTTTATTGAAGTCGGACATTTCGTTGATCTTCCGTTTCCGCCGCTCTGTATTCATTCGACTTTTTTGTTTTGGGGTTTTTTCTTCCAATTGATGCTTTCTTTGGTGGCATGATTTTATTTTTTTGTGAATGTAAATAATAATACTCTGTATGTTGAACTGATCTCAGATGAAAAAGAATTCACTATCGTTTGCGCAGTGCCTACACTTGCTATGAGCGAATGTATTAGCTATGCGACCTTATATTTATGTAACTCAGGCAAACAATATAAATATGTTCTCTGAAGGTACCTTCCACTTAAAAAGATTAAAAATCCTTATATTTTATCTATGCTAAAACGTGTGTAAACAGCAGAAGATATTCTCTGCAGGTGCTTTTCCTGCAATAAATTTAAAAAAAATCGGTAGACTTTCGCAACCTCTTATTTATCTGAATTAGTGTATACAGAAAAATTTCTTTGTACGTAGGTATTTTCTTCAAGAATGTTGTGGAAAAATCCCAAGATTTATGAAGCCATTGTTTAGGTAAACTTGGGAAACAAAATATACTCTTGTAAACAATATATAACTACCTTCAACCGTAAAATAAAAACGAATGCTATAATTCTGCAGGTACTTTCCTCCCAAATAATTTGAAATTTTTAAACCCTTTATTTATGTGAACTTGGGTAACAAAGTGTTTTCTATGTAGGTATTCTCTTCATGAATGTTGTGGAAAAATACCAAAATTTATACACCCAAATATAGGAAAATTATGCAAGCAAAATCTCGTATGCGCATTAGGAAAAAATATTACAACATTTTTTATTTTTTATTTTATTTAATTTTTTTTTAGCCTTATTCAATAAGAAACAAAAGTTATGCATTAATATTGAGTACTTTTTTGGTTTTTAACTATTAAACAAATTCCGTTTTTAAATTGCAACCTGGTGAAAATTTACACAACTCTGGCATTAACATACATACATATGTTCACATATAGATTTATAGATATAGGATTCGGCATTTTCTTTCTGGTAAGCTTTCGGTTTGACAGACTTTGAAGTTTATCACACTCTAAATCTTTGGTATTTCTTAAAAATATTATCCGATTTTATTTTCTTAAGTATGTGGACACTCTATACGATAATTGGTCTTAACTGAAACATTTCCCAATAGCTCCCGTATCCTGCGAAATACTTTTTAATACACACATTTATGTCATTTAACTTTTTTTGAAAGCGGTGGCAACTCTACTCAAAAATATGTTTGGCGTGAATCTTTCTCCAATACCTTCCGTTTGATACCCATATTACAATATTTGATGTGAATTGCATTAGATATTCATTATTTTTAACTTTTTGACCAGGTGGCAACACTTATTAAAATATTTTTTGATGTAAATTTTCTTAAATATCTTTCTCAAATACCTTCCATTTGATATCTATACTTACTTTACTTGCATATTTAAATAAATTTTATTTTTCTGACAGGTGGCAACTCTTTCAAAAATAGCCAAATTTCACAGGAACACTCTCCGAGTTTCTAAGCTATCCTGGAAATTTTAACAAAATCGGCTGAATGGTTTCGGAGTCTATAAGC